CGTAAGGGCATGTGAATGTTGTTTTCTCTTGGTCACTCGGATGGATAGGAATCTGAAAGAAACCGGAGTAACCATCGAGAAAACAAAAATAAGAATGCAGTGCAAGTCTTTCTAACATTTGGTCAATGAATGGAAGGGGGAAGTGATCCTTACGGGTGTTTGTATTAAGTTTTCGATAATCGATGCACATTCTCCATCCCGTAACAGTTCTAGTCGGTATGAGTTTATTGCGTTTTGCGACGGAATTTTCCGTCGCAATCCGTTACAAAATAAAATTAATTTACGCACCCAAAATTCAAAAAATTTCGTCGAAAAACGAAACCAAATACATTGAGACGGAAAATTCCGTCGTAATCCATCGCAATTTTTATTTTCCGTCGCAAATCATCTATTTTTTTGGTGTGACAGAATTATCTGTCGCAAACCGTAGCAAATTGCGACGGATTTTGCGACTGTTTGCGACGGATAATTTTTTTCCACATTCTGTCGTAAAATCGTCACATTCCGTCGCAATTTTCGGTGCGACGGAAATTTCCGTCGCAAATTCCGTCGCTATATGCAGGTTTTTTTGTAGTGAAACGATCCATTTTTGTTAATACAAAAAAAAACATCACGTACATGAATATAAATAATAGTTTGTATTCCTATAATATACGTAACTAATAAATTTAATAAAAAAAATAAAGATTTTTTTAGGTACTAGATTATGCAAAGAGAAAAATAACATATCATTTGTGGTTTTATCAAAAACAATAAGAAATGTCAAGAGACGTAGGCAGCCCTCCCTCGCTTGCTTGCCGTTGAAAATTATGTAACAATCGTAAAACCAACAGGACAACTACCCTCAGGATTAGTTGACGCCATAAGCTATGACTTCTAACCACAATTATATGCACAGAAATAAAAATTAATGGTGGGTTATTTCTAATTAATCAGTATTTTATATGGTACTCCTTAATTAGTTATGGACCTATATGGTGTACCAAGCATATAAATGGAAAGAAATGTAAATAATATTCGTACATATAACATCCTACTTATATAAACATATGACTTACTGTATCAATATATTAGGAGAATCGGAATCGCCGTTTTTGTTTCTTTATTATAAATCCCACCCAAAAAAAAAATCAAAATAAAGTCATAGGTAATGATGAAAAAGAATATTCATTTTTATTAGGCATAGATATAAACCATTTAATTTTCGTTGACACAAATTACATAATCATTTACTCTTTTTTTGTGGTAATAGGATGTGATAAACCGAAAGTCATACTAATTTCGAAGGACGGAAATAAGAAATGTGATTAGAATTTCACTTTTCTTTCCAATTTGAGATTCGAATTCATGCGGACCGATAAAGTATTGTGTTTTTTATTTATATTTTTTGGAAATAAAATTATATTTTGATTTACGAGAAGGGTTTGTTTAATGGGAGAAAAAAAGTATGATAAAGTTAATAAAGAGGGAACAATTTTCATTGATGGCGTGCGAATTCGGTTGGACCAACGACGCGACCAAGTTCATTTGGTCCGATATCTAGAAAACTTGTCCCCATTCTATACGTATATTCCACGACGCCCCCATCCTCCGCTCCCAAAGCATCCGTCATATATATACGCATGCATACACACACACACATACACATGCATGCATATGTGTGTATATGCATGTAACCACTATATCGCTATCATTCGTCATCATCAGAAAGAACGCGACAAATCCCAATATTAACTACGTTACGCTTTCCGTATATATATAATTCATCGCATTAACCACTCCATAAAATGCAATATTTCATATAAAAAAAATAATGCAATATTTGGTAGAAGAAATTACTTAAAGTGGGCTTGTCATGGGCCTATTCGTATCTGGATCGTAATGTTCCGTTTGGGCCTCCCAGGCCCATTTTGGTACCTTGAATTTCCTTTACCACTTTTTCCATTCATCGGAACAAAAAAAAAAAAAAAAAAAAGATGGCTCAAAGTTAAAAACCCAACAAACCCATCAACACTCTACAAATCCCCAACAAGAAAACCAAATCTCAAAACCCTAAAACCCAAACTAAACCCACCAAAATACCATTTTTTTTTTATTTTAATAAATTTTGCAGTGGTTCCAAGTAGGGGTGGGTATTTCGGGAAACGGTTTGGGTTCGAGACGGAATAGATCGGTTCGGTTCTTTCGGTTTTACAAAAATAGGTACCAATCGGGTTTTTTATTGTATTCGGTTCAGTTCAGTTTCGGTTTCGGTTCGATTCCGGGAAAATTCAGTTCTCTAAAATAGTACCGTTCGGAAAATAACAACGGTTTCGGATAAAAAAAATACCGTTTTAACGGTTCGATTCGATCCAGTTCTGAATAACCGAACCGAAATGCCCAGTCCTAGTTCCAAGATTTGGGTGTGTTAATAGACGATATTTCTGGAAATTAATAAAAATCTTCCTCGGACAGCAGCACAACCTGCGGGAGATTATGATTCCACGTGTCGTGTCCTTTTTTTTTATAAAAAAATTTGTTCCAATAATATTATCAAATTTTAAAAAGCACATAATATCAAATAGGTTTGACTTTGTACTTGTGCATGATATCACAAGATACGAAAAAGCTTACCTGTTATATTATTGGAAATGATTTCATATTCAAGATATTTTTAAAAAGTCCCTAAAATAATCATAAATGAAATTTGTTCCCCAACGAATCAGCACATAGTTTAAAACATTTATGCAATTTTTTTTTTAAAAATTATTATTATTATTTTGAAACAGCCTAAGAAGTTGATCATGGAAATTCTGACTTTAGCACAAGCTAATTATTAATTAATAAGAATAATAATTATTAAATAGATAATCTCATTCTCCCATAATTTCGGGACCAATGCGCGCGAGTGAAGCTTTCTTCGATTTGATTTCATTGCACCACTAATTTTTTTTTACTGAAATAAATTAAACAAAATGAATAAAATATGAAATATGGAATTCTATTGTAACAACAAGAAAAAGTTTTTTTTAAAAAAAACTGAGACATTGATATAAAGTTGAATTTCAACATCTACTATTTAAATTTAAACAGATATCAATGCATTATATATATATATATATATATATATATATATATTATAAATGAAAGAATAAAGAAAGAGAGGAGGAAGTGCAGGTGATGAATCCACGTCTGCGATATGAGAAGAGACCCTGCATCACTCCATACCCCACGCGTCTCTCTCCGTTTCACCACGCGCCTCTCCTCCTCCACGGCCTTTGCCCTCTCTCCCTCTTTCTCCCCCATCGCCGTCCCAAGATCTCTTCTCTCTGTGTCTGCTCCAATCTCTCGCTCCGATTGGATAGAACGGATTCTTCAGCTACGAGGCGAGTTCGACGTCGCACTGTATATTTCCGGCGGATAAGCTTTTTCTTCTCGTTTTTGTTAGTCTTCGACCTATTGAATCTTTTGTTTTTGCCCGTTGGTGATCAGATGGCACGGAATCTGCGTTCGATTCTGCTTGTTCTTGTGGCTTTGTGCGTTGTTTCGGCTGTAGAAGCGAGTGAGGGCGATGCTGATCCACTTTACAAGTAAGCTGCAGTCTCCTCCAGTTGATTTCCGTTTCGGGTTGTGATTCGTGTGTGAAGCGGTTGATTTGCTTTCCTGAAATCCACCTGTAATGATATTTTAGAATTGTATGCGGATTTTTTGTTTCGGAGTTGAAATTGGTTCTCATGAATTTTGGGAAGGGATAGTGTCACTGTCAATTTCAGTCTTTTGGCAGAAATCCAAAATGGTTTGGGTCGACGAGAGGAGATATGAAAATAGAATCTACAGATCTTTTGATGGACGGAGCTTAGAACTCTGTTGGGTTGACTTCGACATGGCTTTCCAAATGAAATTCCAAGGCTTGGCATAGAAGAATACGTAGATATGACTATTTGTGGGTGTCTATGCTCAAACACTTTCACTACAAAGAAGTGCCTTCATTTAGTTGGGAAACGTTCATCTTATGTTGGTTGCTTGTATGTCATGTAAGAGATCAGTTAGTTTGATCCTTATGATGAGAGTTGGGGGGGGGGGGGGGAA